GAACCCGCTGCCGCCGCTGCCGGGCCTGTGTCCGAACTGAGTGCGGGGATTGCCACTTCTGCCGAGACATGAAGAAGTTCGGGGGGCCCGGGCGCATGAAGCAGTCGTGCCTGCTTCGGCAGTGCACTGCGGTGAGTCTTGCCCCCCATGCCGGGTACCTTGGGACCCCAGGCATACTTCCCCAGAGCACCATTAGTAGTACGGGCCTGAGCACTCTCTGGGTGTCCAGTGGCTGCTTCCTGAATGTACAGTGCACGTGGTGAGTCTTGCCCCCCATGCCTTGGAACCCCAGGCATACTTCCCCAGAGCACCATTACACTAGTATCACTGGCCTGAGCACGCTGGGGTCTAGTGGCTGCTTCCTAAATGTACCTTAGAGGTGCTGTTCTTTCATTCACTCACTTCCCGTCTTCCTTCAGTGATTTGTTTAAATGTCTGGTTTTGTCTTTGTCACAAAGTGGGGTACACGGAAGAATCTGCCTCAGGTCTATAGAAAGCTCAGCCCCTGCTGTTTGCCCGTGCCCCGGTATCTGCAAGAGGAACCCATCCCTTTCACCAGAGAAGAGCTTTTGTCTTTGGCCTCTTCCACACACCTTCGGGTATCTTGAGTCTAGGACCCCCTTCTTGTGACCTTGAGCAAATCACTGATCTTCAAGTACCTTCTCTATAAAATGTTTCTTTTCTGAGTTGCAAAGATTAGACAGTAGTATGCTATGAATGCCCTATTGAAAGGCCTGGCACATACTGGTTATCTGGGAAACGTGGTTTCTCCCATGCCTCCCTCACCCTTTAAGCAGCCCTGACCACCAGAATGGCCATTCCCCAGTAGCCACAAGGAACTGGCTTTATCCTTAACACACATCACTGCCTTCTTCCCTTCCTCCAGCCACGCTTTCCTGCTTGCACTTTCACCCTCACAGCCACTTTTCTTCCTTTGTCCCCCAGCCCCTTGCCTTACTTTCTGATCCTTCTTCCTTGATCTAGATCCATGGCCTTCAGCATCCCTGATATGATTCAATGTTACCATTGTCCTCCCTAAAGTCACATTGTCTGGAGACGCCTGCCTTTTCCCCTAAAACTAAGCAGCTGTGGCTTTACATGTTCCCAAGGATCTTTCCCTAACTGGTCTCACTGTGGCTTCCAGAGCCACTCTTTGGAACTGAACAACCTTAGAATTACCCTCAAGCTACTGTTCTGCCTCCTTGAAGCCATTCTGAGCATTGTCATTTGTCTGTGGTCTCTTTTACTCCAAGCCAGTTATAATTTCAGGATCACACTAGCCCTGAACCTTGTGCCGACAATTCCAATAATGACAATAGTTGTCTCTCCAACCCCCTCATGCTTTGTCTTGTTCTTAACAATGGTCCTGCAAAGGACAGATCCCTCACCCCATCTTCAAGATGCAGAAATCAATTGCTGAAGGCCATTCTGGCAAAAGGGACCAAATTAAGGATTTGGCTTGTGGGGTCTGAACGTGCCTCCTCCTACAGCTAATGTTGAAGAAGTTTTGCCCTTGGTTTTGGGGTCTCTAATGCCTCCTCTTTCCCAACAGCCCGTGCTCCCACACACAGCTGTATGCCTCTTGTGTGGGGAGGCAGGGAAGGAGGATACAGTGGAAGGAGAGGAAGAGAAATTTAGTTTGAGCCTCATGGAGTGTACAATTTGCAACGAGATCGTCCACCCTGGCTGCCTGAAGGTGCTAAGTCTTGGGACCCTGAAGACTGGGGTGGGCTAAACTATCAGGGAGTAAGGAGGTAGGCCAGTGTGTCTGTGGACACAGAGTGGCACCTTCTCTTCATTATTTGGTCTCTTGCCCACAGATGGGAAAGGCTGAGGGTGTAATTAATTCAGAGATTCCCAACTGCTGGGAGTGCCCCCGATGTACCCAGGAAGGACGGACAAGCAAGGTAAAGCAGGGACTGGGATAGGGGCAGGGTGGGGGATTGAGAGCTAGGTGGGGCCTCACCCCAAGATTACACTTTTCAGGATGCAGGTGAGGGTCCAGGGCGCCGTAGGGCTGACAATGGTGAGGAAGGCGCTAACCTAGGGGGTGGATGGAAGCTGACAGAGGAGCCACCACCACCACCACCTTTGCCCAGAAGAAAGGGACCCTTACCTGCTGGCCCAACCCCTGACGATGTGCCTGGGCCCCCCAAACGGAAGGAGAGGGAGGCAGGGAATGAGCCCCCCACCCCAAGGAAAAAGGTAAGCGGAAGGGTGAGTCTGGTTTAGCCCATGGGATTCTGGGAGCTGTAGTCTTAGCCTGGTGGGTGCTTTGGTTCTGGAGCCTGGCCCTGCTTTACCTGGGGAGCGAGGCTATGTGGGTTCCCTCAGAGGTGTTTAGGAGTTGTTGGGGGGGCGGGGGCTGGCTGTGGATGGAGCGTGCTCACTATGAAGAAGAAACACAAGTGAAGGGTTACTGGTATAGGCCAGGAATCTGAGAGACCTGGAGGATTAGGGAGGAGCTATAGAGCATGCTCAAACTACTACAGAGGCGGAGGGAAGGGCTCCAAAAAGCCTGAGGGGGAAGAAAGGAGCTGAGGAGCATGCTCAGTAAGCCAACATACTGATTACAAGGTTAGCATGCTGAGCAGTCTTCCTGGGGTGGGGGCTTCTGGGATTTGTAGTCCAAGAAGAGGACATGGACCTTAGTTTGGTAGTTACTAAGGGCTTCTCTCTAATGGGGTCTCTTTCTTTCCCGTATCTCCTTCTGGTAGGTGAAAGGAGGCCGAGAGAGGCACTTGAAGAAGGTGGGTGGAGATGCCTGCCTCCTCCGAGGAGCGGACCCAGGCAGCCCCGGCCTTCTGCCCCCCAGGGTTCTGAATCCGAGCCAGGCATTCTCATCCTGCCACCCTGGGCTCCCTCCCGAGAGCTGGGAGGTGTGCCGGGGACCTATTCCTTCCCCCCACCCCCTTCCTTGCCCCACCTTCCATATGGAGACTAAGATCTGTCCCTTTCTGCTCATGTTGTCTTGCCCTAACCCCACATGGTCACTGGACCCCTGGAAAGAGTTGGCTGGTATAGTAGACTGGGTACAGGTCATAAGAACCCCTGATTTCCAGTAACCATTGGGCTGTTGTCTGGCACATTTTTTCTCAGTTTTCCAAGCCTAAGTGTAAAGAAATGAATTTAAATTTCTGCCAGATCACCGATTCTTTATGTGGTTTGGCAATTTGTTAGCTGCTCACTCTGGGCTGACAAGTGGTTTTCTAATTTGTGAGATGAAGATAGCTCCTTACTAGGCTAACCTCTCCTCCCATCCCACAGCACTAGGTAGATCCAATGAGATATAAAGTAATGGGGCCCAGAGAAGCTAAAAGATTGGCCCAAGGTCACACTGCAGAGCCAGAGTTCTGATAGTACTCTGCACTGGCAATCTGACTGTCCAGATCCACCAAATGTCAGTTTGTGACCTTGGACAGGTCACCTGGTCTTTTTGAGCCTCACTCAGTTGCCTCATATCTAAAAGGAGTAAGTAGCTTAAGTTGTCCCTATGATAGGTTACTGTGAGGACCCCAGTCAGAGAGCAAGATTATTCCACTCCAAGACAGTTAGTTATTGCTCTTCCCACATTGTGGACTTGTCTAGTCTAGCTGTTCCATGTTGTAAATGGTGAAGCAGGACTTGCTACGTTCCAGAATTGAAAAGGCAAGCCAGCACTCCACACATTGTCTCTGGGAGGTTCATGAGCCATTGACAGACCCACCAGGCTCCCTGGACTTTGAATCCACACTATAGATAAGGAAACTGAAGTCCAGAGATGGACTGTTTGGGAGTAATTAGGAACTCAGGACTGTCTCCTGGGCTCTTCATCCTCTGGTGACTCCTTTTGGGTGAGTGGTTGGGAAAGTCACTTTGGACCCTTGTATAGCCTCACCTGTCTCTCTGCAGAAACCAAAGCCACCTATGGCCTCTGCTGAGGGACCAGCAGTGCCATCCCCATCACCACAGAGGGAGAAACTGGAGCGTTTTAAACGGATGTGCCAGCTGCTGGAGCGGGTGCCTGATACCTCCTCGTCCTCCTCGGACTCAGACTCTGACTCAGACTCATCTGGCACATCACTTAGTGAGGATGAAGCTCCGGGGGAGGCTCGCAATGGGCGGCGGCCAGCCCGGGGCAGCTCTGGCGAGAAGGAGAACCGTGGGGGGCGGCGGGCTATACGCCCTGGCAGTGGGGGACCACTGCTCAGCTGGCCCCTGGGCCCTGCCCCACCACCACGGCCTCCACAGTTGGAGCGGCACGTGGTACGGCCCCCGCCTCGAAGCCCTGAGCCTGACACTCTGCCTTTGGCTGCTGGATCCGACCACCCCCTGCCTCGGGCTGCCTGGCTTCGTGTCTTCCAGCACCTGGGACCCCGAGAGCTGTGTGTCTGCATGCGAGTCTGCCGGACTTGGAGCCGCTGGTGAGTGGCTAGACAGGCCTGAGTTCTGTTGCTGCCATGATTCTTGCTTGCTGGGTGACCTCTAATAGGTCTCTGAGTCTCTCTGAATCTTTCCTTCCTTGATGTGTCTGTTGTAATGTGATCCTCTCATGGTTACTCTGAGCTCACTTAACCTCCAATAGCTCTGTGGAGAAGAGATAGTAGAACCAGGAGTTTGAATCTGGACCCTGTGGCTCCCACTAATTCCCTTTTGCTTTTATATATGTTAAGAGTTAGTGTGTACCAAGCATAGTGTCAGGCGGTGTCCACTTCTCACGTTCTGAGGTCCATCTTCTGAAAACAGTCTGATTTGGTCCCAGCCTTACTAAGGTAGCCCTTGCCCGCTAAAGCAGCCATGCTTGGACTTCCTGAAGCCCACTCCTTCCCTGCTGACCCCCTCAGCTCTGTGTAGGGTCATCCTCCAAAGCCTGTCCCCCCTTCTGATTCTCTCCCAACAAGCTTCCTCCTCCATCTTGCTCCCACAGCATTGTGTTCCCCTAATGGAGCACAAAAAGGCCTTTGGCATGTGGACAAGCTTTCATTATTTATTTTCATGTTCCCTTCAGTTTCTGGGGTTGGGGCACATACTTTGTATCGATTTTTATCTTCATATCCCCAGCATAGTACAAAGGCTGTATAGATTGATGTTCAAGAAAAGTTTTACTAAGTGAGTAAATTCGAGCTTTTTCCCAGGACTCAGATTCCTGTCAGAGCTTCAACAATGTTGCATCTCCAGCCCTGAGGAGGCTGAGGCAGGAGGAGCCTGAGGCAGGAGGAGCCTGAGTTGGAGGCCAGTCTTGGCTACATAATGATACTTTGTCTCAAAAAAAAAGTGTGATGGTTATCTTTATAATAGCAGCACTCTTGAGGGTTGAGCATGCTTGAAGCTTGCAAGTTAAGTTAGGGGCTAAACAAAACTCCCCCTTCCTTTGGGACAGGATCTGGAGAGCTAGCACTTTGCCTTCTGGTTTCCGTAGAGCCAGGGAGACTGGTATGTGAGAGCCAGAGGCAAATGCTTCTGGTAGACTGTTTGTTCCAGTGAGTTTATGCCCTTGAGCTAGTTTTTTAACTTCCTCATGCCTGCCTTACTTACTTTCTTTTCTTATCCTCCCTCCTTCCTTCTCTTCTTTGCCTGTACTAGGAATTGAACCCAAGGACTGGTGCTGAGGCCAGTCCTCCACTACTGAATTATATTCTGAGCCATCTTCTTCCTTTTTATTTTTGAGACAGGCTCTCCAAACTGCATAGGCTGGCCTTGGTATCCTTTTACTCCCAAGTAGCTAGGGTTAGAAGGTCTGCACCACCAGTCCTCACCTCATTTTCTTCATAAAAAAAACAGGATAGCCAGATGGTGTTGGCACACGCCTTTAATCCCAGTACTTGGGAGGCAGAGGCAGGCCTATCTCTGAGTTTGAGGCCAGCCTGGCCTACAGAGTGAGTTCCAGGACAGAGCAGTTTTCACAGAGAAACCATGTCTCAGAGTGTACCCCCCCCACACACAAAAAAAAAGAAGGGTGCTCTGGAAGATTTGATAGTCAGACTGCAGCATAGCACAAAAAAAAGAAGGGTGCTCTGGAAGATTTGATAGTCAGACTGCAGCATAGATGCAATCACAGATGCTGCTGAGGGTAACCACACCATCTGATGTAGTTCGGGGGAGGTGATTGTTCATGCATTTTTGGCTAGCTCTATGCTTGACACATGGAATCCATGAAGAGACCTGTCACTGGAAGTGGTCAAAGCAGAGAGGCCAGTGAGTGCATAGTGTTTCCCAGCTTGGGCCCTGCAGCCTAGCCCACACCTTTCATCAATGGTGACATATCTCTTGCGGCCTCTATTTCTCATTTGTAATGTAGTTGGAGCTCACTCAGGTCCTAAGAAGGATTACTCTAAAATGCTCTTGCATGTCAGGATACCAAAATCCAAATAGCACAGTGTCTGTATATAATCTGCTCACTCTCTAGATGACTTATAGAATCTAATACAATACAGATAATACATAAATAGTTACTATAGTGTATTGTTTAGGGAATAACAAAACATGTCTCCTTCAGTACATAGGCAGTTTTTGTTTTGAATGTTTCTTCCCGTGGGCGGTTGACTCTTTAGATGCAGAACCTCAGATACAGAAGCCAAGTCCTATTTACCTTGTGGGATTTAATGAGGCGATTCCTGTAGAGCACTTAGCACAGTGCCTTAGGGTACTAAGCCCTCAGTAAATGGTGCCTTCAGGTGAGAAGAACCGACTTGGGGAAAGCAGGCTTATGGGGGCCACAGTGGGGGACTTGTCAGGAAGCTCTGCCACATCTGGGCACTGAAGCAGGAGCGGTAGGAAAAGGGACAGCTTGAGACTTCAGGGAGGAAGTGAGGAGACAAAGTTTTGCTGTCAATTCAAAACCCTCCTGCTTCAGTGTTGCACCAACAAGACCTTAAAGCGAGAGGAGGAATGGCGCCAGGCTTGAGGGCGTAGGTCTGTAATTCCATTACTTGGAAGATTGAGGCAGAAAGATGGCAACCTCTAGGCTAGCCTCAGCAATTATTTGACACTTCACAGGATAAAAGGACTAGGAAAAATGAGTGTGTTGGCTCACGCCTTTAATCCCAGCTCTTAGGAGGCAGAGGCAGAGGCAGAGGCAGGCGGATCTCTGTAAATTGAGGTCAGCCTGGTTTACAGAGTGAGTTCCAGGACAGCCTACATTTAATTAAAAAAGGAGGAGAGGGAGAAATAAGGAAAAAGGGGAAAGGGTGGGAGCTGGGGAGATAGTTCTGTCAGTATTTGTTGTAAAGAACCTCCAGAACCCATGTAAAAGGCCAGCATTGAGACAAGAGAATTCTCAGGTCTTGCTGGCCAGCCAGCTGGACCTGATCAACAAGCCCTAGTTCCTGGGAAGAGACCCTGTTTCAAAAAAACAAGGGGGGTGGGGAGCAGCTAGAGAGATGGTTCATCAGTTAAGAGCATGCACTGCTTTTGCAGGGGACAGGAGTTGTGGTAGAGAGAGCACCTGTTTAATCATGGTCCTAGGTTCAAGCCTTCATAATGCAGAAAATTGGCTTGAATTTGCTGACTCATTGGCTGTGAAGATGGTATTGTGTCAACTAAATTTGTGACCCAGGAGCCAGGATGGGAGATAGAGATATTCTTGAAGCTTGGGAATCACAAAGGAGGAACAGTTTCAGTGGAGAGAGAGCTCCCGATTTGATCTCTTTGGTCTGAGAAGCTTGTGAACTAGTCAGATACCACTGCTGAGAAGGTACAGTCTGGTGCTGACTTGAAATTTTCATCCTGTGGGTAGCAGATTTGACAGAGCAGTGGTCCTCAACCTTCCTAATGCTGTGGTCCCTGATAACAGTTCCTCATGTTGCAGTGGCCCCCAACCATAAAATTATTTTTATTGCCATTTCATAACTGTAATTTTGCTGCTCTTAGGAGTTGTAATGTAAATATCTGATTTCCAATGGTCATAGGCAACTCCTGTGTGCGGGTTATTCCGATCCCCAAAGGGGTCTCAACCCACAGGTTGAGAACTGCTGTGATAGAGAGCAGAGGCCCAATATGAGTATGAGCTAGAGAAAGAGCAACCCAAGAATTCTGGGAGATCAAGGTGGGTCCTACAAAAAGAGAGGCTGAGGAGGGAAGGGTGATGGGTAGTGGTGGGTGTTGATGGGAGATCAGGGAAGATCAGTGACCAAAGGTGATAATTGGCTTTTTTATCAGAAGGACTAAGTGGTAGAGTGCTTGCCTAATATGCAGAGGATCTGGGTTCTGTCTCCAGCCACACATACATACAAAACCTTGCTATTCTTGGCTATGCTTAGAGAGAGGGAGAGCCAAAGCCAGACATCAGCTCCAACTCAGGGACTTGGTCCAGTGCTCCTGCTGTGTGTGCCCCTGGTTTCTGAGAAGGCATCTGGCATTCACCAACTATTAAGGCAACAATGAGTGAATGAATATAAATGAAGAAACGGGTGTGGAGAGAGATAGAAGAGGGTGTAGCTGGAGAGGTTTGTAAGTGGGAGAGCAGGCAGTTGCAGGCTTTCCTGTCTGGTGGCTTTGATTATTTAGAACTGGGAGGCAAAGGGCAGGCGGGGGTTGTGGAGGAGGTGTTGATGTACTAGGTAGACATTGCAGTTTTCAAGGACGTGGGCAGAGAAGGAAGTAAGGAAGGGACTGGCTCCTGGTCAAGGTTGGCTGGTGGGAGACTGGAGGACAGTGACAGTTTTGGAATCTCAGAGAGCTCTTAGAAGGGAGAACTAACTGTAGCCTGTGTCCACAGTGATGCAGAGCCTGTGGAGAGCACTTGGAAGCCTCTGTCGCCAGGGTCTTCTGCAAGATGAGGTTTGAAACTGCAGTGGAGGACAGGAGGATGTGGGCTAGGCTGAAGTAAAAACAGGGATGTTGCCAGGCCTTGGTGGCGCACGCCTTTAATCCCAGCACTCAGGAGGCAGAGGCAGAGGCAGAGGCAGGTGGATCTCTGAGGTCAAGAACAGCCCGGGGTACACAGAGCAACCCTATCTTTAAAAACAAAAACAAAAACAAAAAAAAAAAAAAAAAAAAGAAGAAAGAAAGAAAAAGAAAACAAAGAAAAAAAAAAGAACAACAATAAAAGGCTTGGCTGCCTATTCAAGAATCCTTAGTTAGGCAGTGGTAACACGTGCGCTTAATCCCAGCTCTTGGGTGGCAGAGGCAGGGGGATCTCTGTGAGTTTTGGACCAGCCTGGTCTACAGGGAGAGAGAGAATCCTAGTGTGCCTTGTCTTTTAAGTGCCACTTTTCACCATGTCACCTCCCCAGCTAGAAAGATATCCATGGCTCTCTGTCAACCAACGTTCACAGTCCCATTAGACATATGCTGGGCCCCAGTGAACCCTTCCTGTGCTCCTTTTGGTGTAACAAGCCTTTGAAGTCAGAACTCTTACCCCATTTTATGGCTTGGGAAATAGAGGCTGAGAGAGGTCTCTCCAAGTGTGGAGTTAAATCTCCCCAGCTTATACACTTCCCCTCTGGTTCTGTGCCTCTGACTTGTGTGTGCACCTGGCATTGCAGTCCTTTTTGACCTCCCTACTGCTGCTCTGGCTTCCTTGGTAGCCTCATTCCTGCCTTTTCCCATTCAGGATTCAGGCTCCATCCATGTAATACCTACATGTCCTTGAACAAGGTTTCGTTTTTGTTTTTAATTTATTTATATATATTATGTGTGCTTGTGTGAGTTTATGTGCACCACAGGCATACATGAGCATGTTAGATCCCCTCGAACCAGAGCATCAGGCAGTTGTGAGTTGCCATGTGGGCTCTGACAGCCAAACCCAGGTCCTCTGCAAGAGCAGTAAGTGCTCTCTTTACTGCTAAGCCCTCTCTACAGCTCTTGAGCACATTTTTAACCTCTCTGGGCCTTATTTTTCTTAAATGAACAAAAGAGTGATAATCATCTCCCAGGGATGATGTGGACTTAAGCTTAGTGCAAAGAACAGAACTCGGGACATAGTAACCCTTGAGTAAACAAGTGCTGTTAGTCCTGTAGCATCAGCACCATTTGTTAAGGTGTCCTTGTTCTTGCCTCCTGAGTTTTCCAGAGCCGCCATGTTGTCCTGCTCCTGGGTGTAGACAGACTCTGCCCTTGTCCACCTTCCCCTTCCTGGAGTAAGGCAGCTTTTGTCACAGCCTCAGCTCAGGCATTATCTCTACAGGATGTTCCCTTCTCTGGGTCTGGGTTGAGGGGCCATGTCCTTATCCTCTTGGTCTTCCCCAGTGGTGTTTTTGTTCCTCATGCCCAGAGGAAGCTGGATACTCCTATCAACAGGACCTCAACAGTTGTTGACTACCACACTGAGGGTTAATCCCAGTGTCCTGGGACTGATTCCAGCCAAGAAATGATCAGGGAGACTTCTGAATGTGAAGGTTTAGAGTTGAGCCTTGAAGGACCTGGGAGAGTTGGCCTTCCAGGCAACAAAGAATGTGCCAGAATATGTTGGCACTAGATGGCATTGCATGCCTATATAGGCAGGTAGGTATTCTGGCCTGGCTTTTGTGGAATATGACACAAACTGGGGACCTGTGAGTACCCTCAAATTAGGATTTTCTTGCCCAGTGTGGTCAACCAGGAAGTCTTTCAGAGAGAAGCTGTTGAGCTCCTCTCAATGCTGGCCAGGGTAGCAAGGGAAGAAGTGGTGATGGGTCTGGTTGTTTCTTCTTGGAATTGGAGAGGTATGTTTATTGTTGAGTGGAAGGGGTGGAGAGGAGAGACTGGAATGGCAGGTAGAAGGGAAGAATGAAAGGCAGGCAGGCATAGGTGGGGAGCAGAAGACTTGGTTCCCACTGAAGCCTGACTCTATAGCCTTTGGAAATGCATTGAGAGGAGCTCAATAACAATTTTATTTTTGTTATTGTTTGTTGATATTTTTTTCTCTTTTTTCCTTTAGTCAGGGTGCTAATATGTAGCCTTTTCAGGCCTCAAACTTGTGATGTTCCTTCTTTGCCTCCCATGTGCTAGGATTACAGGGGTACAATTCCATGCCCAGTTTGTTTGTGTTTTGAGCCAGACTCTGGCTCCACTGCCCAATGTGACCTCAAACTCCTTAGTGGTGTGATACTCCTGCCTCAGCCTCCTGAGAAGCTAGGGCTATCAGCATGTGCTTTGTGCCCAGTTACCTGACCCTTCAAGTGACAGCAAATGAAAGCTAAATCTGTTGGTTTTCAAAAGGAAATCTATTGGTGGCCATTGCGTCTTTAACAGGTTTCTAATCCATATCACCTGCTTAACTGGCTGTAGTTTGAGGTAGCCTACAGCCATAGCAACTCCTGACTGGAGTGTAATAGTTTCATTGTATTTATTTAAATTTCATTTTTTACTGGCCTTTTCATTATATTTAATCTGTTTTTTATGTGTGTATGTCTGTCTGTGGCTCAAGGGGCTGGGGGTGGGGTGAAGTAGGATGAGGTGTCATCCTGGGAATTGGACTCTGTCATCAGGTTTGGTACTAGCATCTCACTGGCTTTTAGTGACAGTGTCCCACTATGAAATATAGACTGGTTTTTAAATTTTTGTCTTACTTGGGAGGAGGTGAGGTTCAAGAGTGTAAGAGTATAACTGGTCAGTTCTCTCTCCACTTTTCACGTGGTTCTGAGATAGAACTCAGGCAGGTCATCAGGCTTGCTTGTTGAGCATTTTACTGACTGAGCATCTTTAGCCCTTGTGTTTATTTTTAGTTACACATTTCTGTGAACCACTGTTGTCTGCTGTTTATTGTTTGTGTTTTGTTTCTTTAAGATGGGGTCTCATGTAGCTGAGGCCAGCCTTGAATTCCTGATTGTCCTGTCTCCAACTCTCAAGTGCTAGAATTGCAGGCGTGTACTCCCAGTACAACACTGGTTTTAAGGATAGAGAATGGTTTAAATCATGCCAAATATGGTGGTAAGCACACACCTGCAATCCTAGCTGAGATAGGAAGAATACTTCAAGGTCTTTTGTTTCTTTTTTTGTTGTTTGTGGGTTTTTTTTTTTTTTTTTTTTTTTTTTTGGGTTTTTTTTTTTTTTTTTTTTTTTTTTTTTTGTGGTTTTGTTTTTTGAGACAGGGTTTCTCTGTGTAACAGTCCTGGCTATCCTGGAACTCACTCTGTAGACCAGGCTGGCCTCAAACTCAGAGGTCTACCTGCCTCTGCCTCCTGAGTGCTGGGATTAAAGGTGTGTTTTGAGCCTTGTCTGTCCTGGAACTCATTATGTTGACCAAACTCAGAGATCCACCTGCCAGAACCTCCTGAGTGCTGGGATTAAAGGTATGCACCATCATGCCTTGCCCACCTCCAGTTCTAAAGTAGCCTAAACAGTGAGTTCCAAACCAGTTTGGGCTACAAAGTGAGTTTCAGACCAGTCTGGGCTATAGTTTGAGATCCTTTCTCAAACAAACCAAAAAAGATAAACCCATGTTTTGCAGAGAAATAGAAGACAGATAAAAGACATAGAAATTCCTCCTTCAACCTCAGGTTTCCCAGGTCTCATCCCCAGCCTGTTCATCTAGTTCAGTGGGAATTTCCTGGCTCACCTTTGAAAATTACTCAAACAGAAGACCTTGGAGTCTCCTGGAACTTCAGCGTACCACAAGATGTTAACAGCTTCCTTCAGGAGAGCTGGGGAAGGACTATACTCAATAATATTTGGGAGCCTTCCACTCGCTGCCTGTTGGACCAGTTGGGTCTTTTGGAGTGCTGGAGTCAGACTTGTTTGATTTGGAGTCTGTGTTTGCATTTGCCCTCCAGTGTCTGGAACCCACCAGGCCTTCCATAAGCTCTTAATGAATAAATGCAAAATGGTGACTTGAGTTGTTGGTGGCAGAGTGCTTAGTGGAAGCCTGGCTTGATTCATTCAGGCAACAAGTGTGCGGTAACTCACCTGTACTTTGCATCTGCCTTTCGTGTGTTGGATGTTAGGATCCAGAGTTGAAAGGGGCCAAATCTGCCCCTATGGAACTTAAATCCTAGTGGGGGAAACTCCATAATCCAACAGACAGAAGATATCAGGGCTGTAAGTCCAGAGTTAACTATACATACACATGGTGGAGTAAAGCTGAGAAGAGCCTGTGAGAAGCCCAGAGGTCGAGTCTAGGGGCTGCTTTTAGATCTCTTTGGCATTAATTACATCAAATAGTGTGTATGAAGTTTGTGTAGCTATCTGGCAAAGCACTTTATAAGTTGTAAGGTCCATGAACTGTAATTATTTCATTTGATCTTAAAGCGGCCCTGCAAGCTGCCTGAGTCATTATCTTCAGTTTATAACTGAAGTCTTTCTGAGTCAGGGAGAGGAATGGACTTGCCCAGGGTCTTGCTTCCAGTTAGCAATAAGGTGGGGTCCTAAAATCCAGTCCTTTATTTGGGCTGGTGGCCAGAAGATTCTTGCCATCCTTGGGACAGGAGAGAGCTGGGGTGTTGAGATTGTGTGTTCCTTGAGAGTTGGGACTGAGGATTCTGTCTCCCCCCTGTGGCTGGCAGGTGCTACGACAAGCGTCTGTGGCCTAGGATGGACCTAAGCCGAAGGAAGTCACTGACCCCACCCATGCTTAGTGGAGTTGTTCGCCGCCAGCCCCGTGCTCTGGACCTCAGCTGGACAGGTGTCTCCAAAAAGCAGCTCATGTGGCTTCTGAACCGACTGCAAGGTAGGGTTCGTTGGTGGTGAGTCTGGACGTGGGGTGGGGGGTGGGGGGAATGGGACACGGGACAACAAAGGCGGGTACTGGGTGAAGTTCCATCATCTGCTTCCTGACCTTTCTTCTAGGCCTGCAGGAGTTGGTGCTTTCCGGGTGCTCCTGGCTCTCCGTCTCTGCCCTGGGCTCGGCCCCACTGCCGGCACTTCGGCTCTTGGACCTCCGCTGGATTGAAGATGTCAAAGACTCCCAGCTTCGTGAGCTGCTGCTGCCTCCACCAGACACTAAACCAGGTTTAGCCACCATATGTTCATCAGTAGATGGGTTAGGTAGAGTGGAGGTGTAGGTTCTGAATGCTATTCTGACATGCCAGGCGTTAAAGTAAGATGGAAGAAAATAGGAATCTGAATAGGAAGACCTGTCTTGGCCATTTGTCATTCACTCACTTTCCTGCTGTGTGCTTGGAACTAAGTCATAAAAGGATAGGGTTTCCTAGGAAGGGAAGGAAAGGCCCAGTGAGGAGTGATGGTGTTCAAACATCCTCTCTGACCCCAACAGTCTCTTCATACCAGAGCCAGGAAAGCCACCTGAGAGGGCACATCTGTTTATGTAATCCCATGCTTTAACTCTCATTGTCTCTAACACTGTGAGTAAAGGCCACTTTTTGTTTTCCATGCCGAGGGAACTCAGCCCCTATGCATGTTAGGCTAGCACTCTACCACTGAGCTCACAGTGTTAGTTTTTGTTTTTAACGTGGTTCTACACAGGGTCTCATTATATAGACCAAGCTGGCTTCAAAGTCAAGGGATCAGCTTGCTTCTGTCTCCCATATGCTGGGATTAGTGTGAACCATGTCTTAGTTTTTGTTCTTGTTTGGTTTTGAGACAGGTTTTGTTCTGTAGCCTAGACCAACCTGGAACCTGTGATACTCTGCCTCCTGAGTACTGAGTTTAGAGATGTGGACCACCATCCTTGGATAAAACCAATATTTTTCGCTGTGGTGGCTGAGGGCTAGGTTAGCTGGCCGCCTGCTGCCTTACACCATCCCTGTATTTTAGCTGTTTCAGCCTTCTTGCCAATTCGCTCCCATTCTGGGGCCTTTTCCTTTTCCTATCTTCCTTACCTCTGATGCTGTAACATCCTAATCATCCTAATCATCTAATTAACAGCTGTCCTTTTAAAATCCTTTGCAGGAAAAGACCCCACACTTGTTTTGTTTTGTTTTGTTTTCCCCCTTTAGTCTTTCACATTTTACATCTCTGAGGCCTGAATTCATGGGGAAGAGGTTTCAGCAGTCTTGAGTGTTGGCTCTCACCAAGTGTGACTGTAGCAGAGCAGGGAAGGCTGGGGCTTCAGGGAGGCCACGTCCTTTCATCGTGTCTTACTTTTTCTGATCATTCGTTTCTTTCACTTCAGAAGCTGTCTCAGCTCTTATTTAATATGCTTAGTTTTCTCACTTGTATTGCATCCACTAATATCCCCTGCCCTTTCCGCCACAAGTTCTGATAACCTTTCTTCTGGTAGACTTGGGCTGTGGGCAGTCTGTAAATGAGCTTCTTCTCTAAGCTGTGAGCTATGTGGAGGGTTAGAACTCAGGGCTTGCCAAGTTGAATGCCCACAGAGGTAGTGACAGAAGGGATGTTTGGGTGCCAGACCTTAGGAAGTGGCACCAGCAGCCCTGTTAGTGCTGCCATTCATTGTCATGGTAAAGTAAGCATGGGTTTTCAAGAAAAATCTCTGATCTAAATTTCTATATTGAAGTGGCCTGAGAGATTTAAGGGGCCAGAGAGATGGTTCAGTGGCTGCTCTTCCACAGGGACCTGTGTTTGAATTGTAGCACCCACATGGTTGCTCACAGCCATCTATAACTCAAGTTCCAGGAGACACAACTATCTTTTCTGACTTCCTCTGCAACTTCATACATGCAAGCAAAATACCCATATATTTAAAACACTTAGCTGAGCAGTGGTGACAAACACCTTTAATCCTAGCATTCGGGAGGCAGAGACAGACCAGCCTGGTCTACAAGTGAGTTAGTTCCAGGACAGCCAGGGCTATACGGAGAAATCCTGTCTGGAAAAACAAAACAAGAACAACAAATAGATGTCCTTTTTTGTATTGTTAGCCAGGCTGGGTGTGGTGGCCCACCTTGTAGTTCCAGCACTCCTGAGGCAGAAGCAGGGGAGTAATATACATTTGAGGCTACCCTGAGCTAAATATTAAGATTTTTGTCTCAAAAATAAATTTTACATAAAGAGTAATTCTAACTGAACCTTAGTAGTCCATTCCTGTGATCCAAAGTACTCAGGAATTTGAGGCAGGAGTGTCAGGAATTCAGGGCAAGCCTAGGCAACTGAAAGTGAATGCGGACACAGCAAGTGGAGAGTGTTCACCCAATACACATGAGGTCTAGGTACAACCCCTAAGACACCACCCCCCCCCCATAATTTTCAGCACTGTGCAGATGCCATAGAACATTTTTGGAAACTTGTCTTGTTAGTCTGTGACATCTGGTGATGTTTTTCTCAGAGACAGGCTACTGCCTGGCAGGTGATGGCATTGTGGTTAAGAATCTGATTCAGTCCCTAGGCCTGGGGTACTGTCTCTCTTGCTTTTTATACATGTGTTCTTGGACGGGTGACTTTGTGACCCAGGCCTCAATGTTCTCATCTGAATAGAGGTGACCAAAGGAGAGGCTTGGCTTCCTTTATTATTTAAAATTATATATGTCTGTGTGTGGATATGTGCATACCAATGCTCGTATAGGCCAGGGGTGTCAGACAGTTGGATACAGGTGGCAGTGGGCCTTTTGATGTGGGTGCTAGGAAAGAATTGATGAAGGTCCTCTGGAAGGATGGTATGTGTGCCTAACCACTGAGACATCTCTGTGGGCCAAGGGTTTTTTTTTTTTTTTTTTTTTTTTTTTTTGCCTTGGGTGTCCTGGAACTCACTCAGATTTATAGAGATCCACCTGCTTATGCCTTCCATTTGCTGGAATTAAAGGTGTACACCACCCCTGCCTGACCAGGGCTTGACTGCTTAGAGTGTAGTTGCAGGCCTAACAGTGTTTCTGCAAGAGAATTTGGAAGAAAAGTAAACCTGAGATCTTGGGCCTACTGTAGTTCTGGGGCGGAACCTGCAGTCCACCAGTCAGGCACTCAAGCCAGTATGGGGTAGGAGGATGCTGAATCCTTTTCCCTAGAGACAGGGGAGAAGGAAGCCTCTGGACTCATTCTGCAGTGGCCAGCAGTCTCTTTTGAGCATAGGTCATCCCATCAGAGTTTGTGGACAGAGCCATTTATGGAGTCAGCGTTCTATCAGGAAGTTACCCTGTCCTACTTAGTTTTCTACTGCTGTGATAAAACATGACCAAAGGAACTTCGGGAGGAGAGGATTCATCTCATCTCATACCTTGTGGTTCATTATGAAGTCAGGGTAGGAACTCAAGGCAGGAACTAAAGCAAGGGGCCATGGAAGTACACTGCTAACTGGCTGGCTCTCCATGGCTTGCTCAGCTTGCATTTGTTACACCACACCAGATCTACTTGCCCAGGTGGTATTGCCCACAGTGAGCTGTGCAGTCATACATCAATCATTAAAAACATGCCCCCACAGACTTGCCTGCAGGCCAATCTGATTGAGGCTATTCTTCAGTTGACATTCTCCCTTCGAAGATGATTCTGGCATGTGTCAAACTGACAAAAATAAAAATAAGAATAAAACCGAACCAGCACATACCTCCAGAGCATTTCAAGTAGAGGAGAGATATTAACCCTTTTGTGTTTGAGAAAGGTTTCTTGGTGCCAGAAAGTAGATCAGGCACAGTAGCATTCAGGAGATAGAGGCAGGAGAATTGCTGCTAATTTGAGCCCAACTAGGTCTATATGGAGTTCAGGCCAGCCAGAGTTACATAGCAAGAGTGTAGGAGCGTGTCTGTGGTCAAATCTGGTTCTTGGTGGATAAGGAACAAGAGGAGTTGGAGTGAGGCTTTTGTTGAGCTAGAACAGTGACCTCACTAGTCATGGGGAGGGTGGAGGGTGTTGTTTATTGGATTCTGGGTGAAAATACTAGGCTTCTTACTAGGGACAGAGCAGTGAGCAAAAGTTCCTGCTTTTTTGAACTGACATTTTTATGTAGGGAGAAAAAGATCCCTAAGGAAAAATGTATACAGTGAATCAGATACTGGGGGTGGGGGTTAGGAGAGGAATGTTAAGACTTGAGCTCTCATGGGAGGCTCCCTGAGGGGATAGGAGCAACGGTCAGATGTCAGGTCAGAAGGTCAGACATTGGGTGCTGTGGGTGTTTGGAAAAGCAAGTCATGTGGAGCAGCAGGGGGGAGGGCTCTCACATGTTGGGAGCAGCTGTGGGCCTATAATCAGGGTAGAGGGCAGTGGCAGAACTCTGGGGTAGGGTCCAGGGGTAGGAGGAGCCTTGAGTGCTAAATTCTTTGTCTTCCCAGGGCAAACGGAGAGCAGAGGTCGGCTGCAGGGTGTGGCAGAACTTCGCCTGGCAGGCCTGGAGCTCACTGATGCCTCTCTGAGGCTCCTACTGCGCCATGCTCCCCAGCTCAGTGCCCTGGACTTGAGTCACTGCGCCCATGTTGGGGACCCGAGTGTCCACCTCCTCACAGCTCCCACTTCCCCTCTCCGAGAGACACTGGTGCACCTCAATCTCGCTGGTAAGTGTGATCCCCTGTCTACCTTGCTTGTCTGGCGATGTGGGTTCCCTGTCTCCTGCCTACTACCCACTCACCTGTCTAGTCTCAGCTGCTACTGCCTCATCCTCAGGATGCCACCGCCTCACGGACCACTGCCTTCCACTGTTCCGTCGCTGCCCCCGTCTTCGCCGCCTGGACCTACGCTCCTGCCGCCAGCTCTCACCTGAAGCTTGTGCCCGGTTGGCAGCTGCTGGGCCACCTGGCCCCTTTCGCTGCCCAGAAGAGAAACTACTTCTCAAGGACAGCTAGTTGGATGCCTATGCTCCGTTCCCCCGGGACTGTACCTCTCGCCTTCATTTCACCCCGTGGGAGGCCAGGTTATTTTTCTTCATGACTTGGCACTCCTCTAAGTGTAATGACTTGAGATTCCTGCCCAGTGACTTGAGCCAGCCTCCCCCTTCTCCCACACCTGCACTGATATCTCCGGGGGCCTTTGCTTCCCCTCTCTCCCTTCCACCTGCTTCATTGTCCATCCCCTTGGGGGAATGGGTCAAGAGGTACTGGGGAGGTGCTGAGCCAAAGGGACGGTGGGAGGGGCGGTGAGAGTGCAAGTCTCAAGCAGGGAAGAGTGAGGGAAGTGATATCTTGTACACAGGATACTGGGAGTGCGGAAGGGTGGGTGTGGGGAGGGCAGAAAGCCGACCAACAAGGGTTCAGGGAACAAAAACCAGTTGGGTGGGATGGGGGGCCAAAAAGGGAAACCAGAGGAGCAATTGGGGAATCCATGAATCAGATAGGGGGCTCTAGAAGCCAAGACATGCCAGGACTGGGGGCTGGGAGAGGAGCAGATGTGGAGATAGTAAGTACCCTCTCTGGGGTTACCCCTCTCCCCTTCCTTCCACCCAGATTTCAGTTCTTTCCCCCACCCAGACTCCTTGAACGTCACTGAAAATGGCAGCTATTGCAAGGAGTAGGGCCACGGGTCTACCTGTTGTCCAGCTCGTGGTCCAGGGGAGTGGTGAGGGGTAGCCCAGACCCCTGCCTGGCTCTCTACACAATACTTGAACATTCATCTGTACTGAAGTGTTACTTGAACCGGGGGAACCTCGGACCTGGGGGATTGTGGTGTGAGGGGACCGGCTTGACCAAGACTGGGCTAGTGGGTACCCAGTTTGGACCGTCCCACCCCCAACTCTCTCTGTCTTGAACAGCTCCACCCCTCTGACCCGAGTTGGGGGTGGGGGATGTCAGCTTAAAGATGGGCAAGATGGGACTTCTCCAGTTTGGCTCTTCCCGTTCTTTCATCGTCATGGAAACGTGTGTCCCATTTGCCCGGGGAACTGCCACTCCTGGTTGCCGTGGAAATAGCAGCCAATGGACACCTCTGGAAATCAGTGCTAAGACTGGAAACGGTCCCTCTTAGTTGCTGTGGGAACTTAGTAACAGACTCTTGGCACCTCCCCTCTCTCCACCCCTTTCCTTCTTCCAGTGTGGGGGTGGGGTCTCAAGAACCTGAGGGAGGAGTCGGGTCCAGGGCTCACTCAACTTAGGCCAGGGGGAACTGGATTGTACCACATGGGGGTGGGGGGAGGGGAATCTATCCACATACCTCAGGTAACAGGAAGGTGCGCGGGTTGGGGGCGGGGGCTGGGGGGACCAAAGGCAGGAGGGAGGGGGGCCTGGGATTGGAGAAAGGCTTGACGAAGGGGCAGCTTGAGGGAGGGGCGGAGGCACCCCGGCGAGGGGCAAGTGGGGTACCCAGCCGGGCTGGGCCCCTTGAACCCCCAAGTCTGTACAATACGGTTTGCTATAAAACTCAGAATCTTCTAGCCGGGGCCGCTGACTTCCTGTGTCTGTCTGCGGTGTCGAGTCTGAGTGGTGGGTAAGGATGGCGGAAGGGGCTCCTGTGGTTAAACTGGGGATAATGGGGTCGCTTTCCCTGAGATCACTGTCCTAGGAGGAATGTGGGAGTTTGGACACCTGGGAGTGCCCAGGTGTGCTTTGGGTGGTCTGAGGCTGGCAAATTCCCACACAAGCTGTGGGCGTTCACTTTGGTGGCTCGAAGGCACCGGGATATTTTTGGCGCCCCGGGTCGTGGGGGCTCCCTTGGGATCTCTGCCCACGGGCCAGACTCTGGGGTTCGGTGTCTCGGCTCCACCCAATCATGTGGTCGCGGGGCTCCGCCCCTGCCCCAGTTCCTGTTTCAGCCCCTGGGCCTTATCGACGCCCCGTTGCACTCCCACCGGGGCCGCAGCGCTGCCGGAGATGGGGTCCCCGCAGCGCGGGGCCCGGCCCTTCTTGGGGTCCCCAGGCGCCTCGGCTCCCCCGTGACCGTCGGCGCTGGTGGCGCGGCCCTTCTCAGGATGAAGGGCGGCGAGGGAGACACGGGCGAACAGGCCCCGCTGAACCCGGGGGCGGACAGCCCTGCGGGCTCCGCCACGTACCGGGAGTTCGTGCACCGCGGCTACCTGGACCTTATGGGGGCCAGTCAGCATTCCCTGCGGGCGCTCAGCTGGCGCCGCCTCTACCTCAGCCGGGCTAAGCTCAAAGCCTCCAGCCGCACGTCTGCTCTGCTGTCGGGCTTCGCCATGGTGAGGGGCGGGAAGGGGCACACAGGGTGGGTGAAGCACGTGGTGGGCTCGGGGTTGAGGAGGCAAGAAAGGATGGCCCCAAAGGAGTGCACGCCGAAATAAGAGGGTTTCTTTAGAGTAACGGGAGGAACGAAATCTGAAGGGTCTGGAAAAGCCCTCTGTATCGGGAACAGGGTTGTCCTAAGAATATAAACAGACTGAGGTCAGCAGGGGCAAACTGGTGGGGAAAAGTGTTCTCACCGAAGTGGCTTAGTTTACCAAGTCCTCGAGAGTGTAGAAAGGCAAGTCGAGCTGAATGAGAGCTGTTATCAACCAGGTCAGGGGGGAAGAGGGGCAGGGTATGGAAGTCACTCAGATGAAGGGCCGGTCCTCAGGAAGATGCCCCACTTCTCAGAAGGCTCAAAGAATGCTAGAATTGCCCCGAAAAGTAAGCGGGCGAGGAAGCCGATGAGCGAGTCGGATACACTGTAGGTGTGGGAGGTAACATCGGCTAACGGTCCCAGCAGTGGCCGCAGGAAGTGGGACCGAAGATTCCAGAGTGCAGTCCGCAGATGTGTCCTGGTTCCTCCCTCCTTACGGCCAGCTGTGTGACCCTGAGCCAGCCGCCCTCCACTCCCGTCAGTAGGAAGTTGGGAGATCATAGAAGCTGCTGGCTTTGTGGTTTGCCAAGCTTTTGTCCAGGGGGGAGCTGGGAGTGTTATGCAGACCCCTAGAACTAGGTGTGTCAGGACAAGCTCCTCTTACCACAGGAGCCTCAGAACAGTGTGCTAAGTAGCCTGGGTGGAAGCTGTTTTGTCGAGGGCACTCAGCAGGGGACAGGTGTGGAGTGAACCTCTGCTAGGTTAAGTTTTCTCCACACGATTGGAGGGGGAGGAGAAAGCAGGCCTGGAGGGAGGGTATCCTTCAGAACATACCCTTATGGAAGTAGACATTGGAGGCAGTTAAGATGAGGTCATATAAGAAGTAACTTGGCTTAGTATGACCCTTTGTTCAGCAACCCCTATAACTGAATGGAAAAATCTAATCTTAACGGTTGTTCTTGGTCTATGGGGTTTATGAAGGGCTCAGATTCCCCAGAGCAGCCCACTGTCCCTGACGTGGGTGACATCTCACGCAAGGAATAGTCTCCGCACAGTAACTCCAGTTTGAGGGAGCCCAGCTGGCTTCTAAAGAACAGTTCAGTCTGCAGAACTTGTAGTTCACTGGGATGACAGCGTGAAAGTTAGGGCCTTCTCAGTTCTGGGAGCGGGGGCTTGCCCAAATCCTGACAAGAAAAGGCTGGGTCAGACCCTGGAAGAAACCAGAACCAAGGCTGGCCCAGTTCCCTGTTTGTGAAAACACCTGCCTGCTCTGTACCATGGCCCAATTTCCCAAAATACTCAATTTTATTTTCTTACCACCACTGCTGTCCAGCACGCCCCCCCCCCCTCCAGCCCTGGCACAATCTCCAGGATCCTTAAGAAACAGAAATTAGGTGAAATCATCTTAAACCCAGGTGGCCTGAGGTAGAATAACTTTATACAAATTATATTCAACAGCTGTGGAGATAGCCTAGTTGGTACAGTGTTTGCCTACCACTCAGGACAATTTCCAACATAAACCAGATACAGTGGAGCACACCTATAATCCTAGCACTTGAGGTAGAAAGAAATAAAAAACCAAGGTTGGCCTTGGCTATACAGGGTTCCTACGCTAGCCTGGGCTCCATGAAATCCTATCTCAGCAAACACACAACACTCTGTAGCAGGTACAGTGCTTAGGGAGTGGGTGTGTCTAGATTGTCAGTTTTTCATATGAGACAAGGTCTGAGATGTTGAGGCACAGCCAGCTAGTGGCAGGATTTTGACTTCAGCAGCCTGGCTTTAGAGCCCAAATTTGTACATCAACTCAAATGTTTGCAAAGTCCGGCTGGCTGGGTGGAGTCATGGTCAAGAGACTCCCTGATCTGTCAAAAATGAACAGCTATGGTTCAGTTTGGATAGTTGCCATATTTGCCTGTAGACCTGAGTGGCTACAGCTGCCAAGTTTTCAGATTGATTTGGAAACATATGAAGCTCCTTAAATTTTAAGAGTTGGCAACTACTACTTTTTGGGTTTTGTTTTGTGTTTTTTTTTTTTTTGTGCCTTGGAGGTTAGCATCATACTCTAATAGTGTTTAGTCTGTGCCTGGCTCTATTCATAGCAGTTAATGTGTATTATCTAACTTGACATTCTCAATGAGCCTATTATCCCCCCCCCCTTTTTTTTTTTTTTTTTTTTTTTTCAGGTAGGAAATTGAGGGAGGCACTTGCTCAGGGATTACACAGCTGGCCAAGGTAGCACGTAACTGTAATCCCACTCAGGACATTGAAGCAGGAGGCAAGTCTGGTCTAATGGACTGTTGGGGGGTTGGGGGGGGAGATTACAGATTGTAGAGCTAAGAATGGATCCAAACAGCCCAGAGTTTTTTTTGTTTGCTTGCTTTGGGCTTTTGTGACTAATTTATTTAGGTTTTCGAGACAAGGTTTCTCAGCTTCAACTCAGAGATTCATCTGCCTCTGCCTCCCAAGTGCTAGGATTAAAGTGGCACTCCTTGACTGAATAATATATATGTCTCTGTGTAGCCCTAGCGTCCCTGGTACTCCCTAGTACTCCCTAGTTCTGGGATTAAAGGCACTTTTGGATTCTTTTGAGATGAGGTTTCAATATGTAACATAGGCTTATCTCAAAGCTCCTGTTTCAGCTTCCCACATGGTGAGATAGTAAGCATGTACTAATAATATACCAGCCTGAGTCCGGCTTGCGGGGTGGGGATTGAACCTAGAGTCTTTTTTTTTTTTTTTTAGATTTTTTTTTTTTTCATGTATACAGTGCATGCCAGAAGAGGACACCAGATCTCATAACGGATGGTTGTGAGCCACCATGTGGTTGCTGGGAATTGAACTCAGAACCTCTGGAAGAACAGTCAGTGCTCTTAACCCCTGAGCCATCTCTCCAGCCCCAGTCTTGTGAATGCTAATGAGGGCTCTATTGCTGATCTGCATCCCCAGCCCCTGGGTCTTTTTTTTAAAGATTTTTATTTCATGTGTATGGAGGCTTTGCCTGGTGTCATGAGTCCCCTGGAACTGGAGTTATAGACAATTCTGAGCTGCCATGTGAGTGCTGGGAATTGAATCCAGGTCCTCTAGAGGAACAAGCAGTGCTGTTAACCGATGAGCCAGCCATCTTTCCAGCCCGAGTCTGTGCTGCTTTAACCACTATGTTATATCCAGGTAAAAACTCAGGAAAATGTTAGCCAGTCCCTTTGAAATCAAGGTACAGGACACAGCAGAGTCTTATCCCAGCACCTGGGAAAGCTGAGACAGGAGGGTTACAAGTTTCAGTCCAACCTGGGCTATCTAGTAAATTCCAGACTAGCCTAAATTATATAAAAGTAAATACAGATAGTGGTGGTGGTGCTCGCCTTTAATCCCAGCACTTGGCAGGCAGAGGCAGGTGGATCTCTGATTTTGAGGATAGCCTGGTTTACAGAGTGAGTTCCAGGACAGCCAGGGCTGCTACACAGAAAAACCATGTCTTAAAAACCAAAAATTGGCCAGGTGGTGGTGGCACACGCCTTTAGTCCCAGCACTCAGGAGGCAGAGGCAGGCAGATTTCTGTGAGTTCGAGACCAGCCTGGTCTACAAGAGCTAGTTCCAGAACAGCCTCTAAAGCCACAGAGAAACCCTGTCTCGAAAAACCAAAAACCAAACCAAACCAAAAAAAACAAAAATTGAACAAAAACCCATTAAGACCCTACCTAAAAGAAAGGGGGGATGGGCAGGGGGAGCCGAATATCTTCTTCCTTCTAGGCACTAAGTTTTAGGGACGTAGCAATGCTGATGCTAAACGAAAACACCTGACAAAGATGCGGTAGGGACTCAGATGTTTTCCCTCTTGTGCCCACAGGTGGCCATGGTGGAGGTGCAGCTGGAGAGTGGTCATGAATACCCGCCAGGCCTGCTAGTGGCCTTCAGCGCCTGCACCACTGTGTTAGTAGCTGTGCACCTCTTTGCACTCATGGTCTCCACCTGTCTGCTGCCCCATATTGAAGCTGTGAGCAACATCCACAATCTCAACTCTGTCCACCAGTCGCCACACCAACGACTCCACCGATATGTGGAACTGGCCTGGGGCTTCTCCACTGCCCTGGGCACCTTTCTCTTCCTGGCCGAAGTTGTTCTGGTGGGCTGGGTCAAGTTTGTGCCCATTGGGGCACCCATGAACAAACCAGCTCCTGTGGTACCTATGTCCCAGGTGCCACCAGTGACCGTCTCCCTTAGTTTAGCTTCCAACCTCACACCATCCTCTGCTTCTATAGCCACATCACAGCAGCCTTCCAAAGCCTGCCCACCCCGGCAAGTGTGTGGTGGTGCCCATGGACCTGGTTGGCAGGCAGCTATGGCCTCCACAGCAATCATGGTACCTGTGGGACTTGTGTTTATGGCCTTTGCCCTACATTTCTACCGATCTTTGGTGGCGCACAAGACAGACCGCCACAAGCAGGAGCTAGAGGAACTCAGTCGCCTGCAGGGGGAGCTGCAGGCTGTGTGAGCCTGGCTTTAGATTTGCAAAACACTGACTCCATGTCTGCAAGAGATGCCAGGGATCTACAGGCCTCATTCCTTGCCCCAGACTGGAGCCACCTCCTGTAAGCTACTCTCAGGTAGAGGCCAAATACCTGCTCAGAGTCCTACACTCCCAGGGATGTTCCCTGTTATCATGACCCAGTGGGTTTTGTAAGCTCCACTCTGCTTGGCTGGAGGAACAAGAGAGGAAGTGGGATGGCCTCAGTCTAAGAAGGCCTTAGTGGGTCTTCAGTGGTGCTGAGCAGTTGATTGCTCCTCTACAGGAAGGTGACATTCCTGCACCACTGTCCTCCAAGGCAGTCAACCCTTGCTTGTGCATAATCTATTTTACAGTTGGCATTGTAGGAGAGATTTCTACCTGTATTGGTTTTGATGGGTTTCCCATTCCTGATTTGGCTGCTGTATCGGATCTGGTGTTTGTTCCTAGGATGAACTACTGCCCCAGGCTCATAGGGCTCTCACCCTCTTTGGCCACAGCTGGGGGAAGAGGAATCTCTGAAGACTGAGGGATTGTACTGCTAGCTTGACTCCTTGACAAGGGTTGGGCGAGTTCGTAAGGGAGAAAATTCAGCCCTTAAAAAGCAGAGCTCTCTAGACATTGAATTTTTGATGCACCTTGTTTTGTTAATAAATTATATCTCACATATGTTCCTGTGACTGAATGGGGTGAAGGGGAAACCTTGGGTAAGGTTACTTGTTCCTAAGGGTGGAGGTAATGGGCCTGATGTGAGGTTGATTCGGTCCAGGGCTGGCAAGGCTGATCTGAATGTGGTTAACAGTTGTCAGGTGGAGGTAATGGGCCTGATGTGAGGTATGATTCGGTCCAGGGCTGGCAAGGCTGATCTGAATGTGGTTAACAGTTGTGGCCTCTAAACTCTTGTTTCTACACTTGGGATTTCATGTAAGTTTCTTCCTGAGTGATCACTTCATCCTACAGGACTATTCATAGGTTCTCTCATTTAGTCCTCACAGTCATCTCAATAAACAAGTATCATTTCCATTTCAGACAGGCAGCTGAGGCCAGGAAGGCTGATGCTCTTGCCCCACAGCCACACAGTCTGTGTGATTACCACAGCCTTCTACTGAGACAAAACAAAGGAACATCTCTCATATATATATATATATATATATATATTTTTCCCTCAGCCTCATAATTTTAGAGCACAATTCCTGTCAGTCTTGTGGTGAGAGACCTTGTACAGTCTTCATTTGATTACTTGGTCAATTAAAACGTGAAAAGGTAGGCACCAATAGTTTTCCCTACACTGTTGTGAGGGTTACATCAAGTTTTTTTGTGACCAACAGCCACCTATTCTTGGAGGGATGACCTGAAACTAAGGGAGGTCAATGTGAGGGACTGTTATGGAGGAGCCACCGAGGGCATCCTTGGCTCCGGAAGCACATCTGGTGGGAATGCCACTGTTCACTGGATGAAAAGGGGTGTTCAGCCTTGGCGCAGTCTCAGCTCCAAGCAAGCTTCCAAGTGAGACCCTGGCTTTGGGCTCCAGTGAGCACAGGGAGCCCTAGCCTAGGAACCGCCTGTGGATTACTGGGTTACTATCAGACCTTTACTTCCATAGGACACAAGGGTCCTCAGGCCTCTCTCAAACTTATCAGACTGAACCCTGAGACAGCTTTAAATCTAGTTACGCGCCCCTTGGGTCTGTCTGTCCGACACAGCTCAATATCCCCCGTCGGTGAAACGGGCATTTTAAAACAGGCCCAAGCGATGTGTAGCTAGGGCGCCCAGCACGCAAGAAGCCCTGGGTCAGACGCCCAGCAGCCCATACACCGGTTACGGCGGCGCACCTGTAACCCCAGCCCTCAGCAGACAGGGGCAAAGAGACCAGGAGCTCGAGGTCATCGTTCGGTGCGGAGCCAGTTCGATGTTACTCTGCCCGAGAAACAACAGGGGCCCGAGTGGACCAGCGGGAGGAAACCGACCGCTTCGTTACGTACGCGGGGCCGGCAAAGCGCCTGAGTCACCGCTCCCGCTTGTATTTTTCCACCTCCCATCCCGCCCAGGTTTTGGTGGATTCTACGGGAAGCAGCCCGTTACGCCGGGCTCCGCACGCCTGGCCACGCCTCTCTGCGCGGCGCGTCGGCCCCGCCCACAACAGGATCCGCAGATTCGCTACCCGACTCCTTAGGGTTATCTGGGCAGCTTCCCTTGTCTGAGATTTGTCATGAAACTCTGAGGAGACTTTTCCCCCCTGTGAGCATTTCGCCCCGAGTCGGAAGTGGGCTGCTGCTTGAGTTGTGCTAGAAACAAACATCCAGGAGTACTGGCCGACACCGCCAACGGGGCTCGGCTACCCGGGCGTCCTTTTCTCGACTCCACCGCAGGTGAGCGGAGGTGACGGCCAGAGCCCAGCACGGTGGCGAATCTGCAGCGCAGCCTCACAGGCGCTAGAGCTGCGCGAGGAAGGGGCAGGCAAGAGGAGCGAAGGAGCG